CACAAAAGTTGCAAACACAAAAATATCCACTCTCAAATAGACACACACCCACGCATAGAGAAACAGCAGGAAAAGACATTTCCCTTCACAGGTGAGCAGAAGAAGGAAACACCCCGGTGCTTCAGTTACTTAGTTGAAGAAAGTGAGGAGTCGTAGGGTGGGTGGGCGGATGGCGGGGGGGGGGGTTGAATGTATGCTGTGTGCCGACTGAATCTTTTCCACATGACGGGCCTCGGGCTGTTTTTGTCAACTGCAGTCTTGAGCAGCAAGGAGTCAGGTAGTGTGACCACATGATTGCCCAGGAGGCACCGCGGTGAGAGAGAGAGAAATTGGGAGAGAGAGAGGGAAGAGAGTGGCAGCGAGGGGGAGAGAGAGGAAGGGGGGAGGGAGAAGGATCGGTGGTCGGGAACAGGACCGATGCAGCACGCATGATGAGGTGTAATCACAAACCCCATTCAGAGTGCAGTGGAGTTTGTCAACATACACACATTCACATTCCACTGTCTGTCAGCTCTATGACCCAAATCGAGCATGCTATGTGAGTGAGTGTGTGAGAGTGTGTTTTTCCACACACACACACACGGATGCTTTCTGCCCATTTCGCCTCCAACCAGGTAGTAACAGTTGCACTGTCTAGGCTTGTGGTTTGTGATGAGGAAGTCAGATTCCAAAGCTCTTGTAGGGTTTCACCGCCTGTATCCCTTTTCAAGCTGCGATCAAATGATCATTATGAACAAAGGACTTGGCTTGTTGCCTCTGGAGTAAAAGCTTTTTTCTTTGGCTGTGACCGTGTGGGTTTGATTGAAAACTTTTACTTGGAGAAGGAAAGCAAAGGGGGAGGAGAGACAGTAAAAGAGCAGGAAGAAAAGAATGTAATTTTCAAAATATGAATATTCAACAGATAAGTGTTTATAGATGTGTGTGATTAAAAGGGTAACTTAAAAGATCATTTGCAAGATAAAAACTGTTAAATTCACATTAGACAAAATCTATACATTCATTTAAATTATATTTAAATTTAAGCAAATCGAATTTGTTCAACAGTGAAAGTCTTATTTTAACACAACACATCTTCTTAAGTTTGATATGGCTGACCTGAAACCTTCCCCCATTGCCATGGTAATCAAAGTCCAAATCCCATTTCATTGCAATGTTCTTTTTATCATTATTATAATCATCATATTTGCATTACCAAAAAGATTCCAAATAGTCCATAAAGTAAGAAATAATAATTCAAGATCATTCATTGAGCATCAAGGTTAATTATTATTCGTTATTCTCGGACAAGGACGTCTGATACATGTGCGTCACATGACGCAGCCACTGGGACAGTGACACGTGACAACAAACATGAGAGGCCTTGAAGTTTAACTATGCTAGCAAGATGGGGAAAAGGTCACACTCCTGGAATAAATTCCTAATTTGCAAAGAAAGTCAAGTGTCAAACTGGCAAATCAGAGTCTTATTTCAACTGATAAAATGTTTTGTTTTTGTCATGAAATATTTATTTTGTGCAACCTGCATGCTGAGATGGTATAAATGTGCAAAAGTTGGAATATTCTCAGGTAAATCTCACAGAAAAGCCACAAAAGCCATTAAAAAGATAGTCAAGACTGTCCTGGTTAAAATCTAAGATGTGTTTACAAGAAACTATTTTTCATGGGGAGCAGAAGTCCATTAAAAAAGAGACAATGTTAAAATAATGATTACATTGTGGAACACTACTATGACTTGGGCACTTATCTTTCAGCGATTTAAAATATACAAATACTGTAATATAATATGTAGTCCCTGAGATAAACAGAACTCACCAGTGGGTTAAAAATGCGTAGAGTTAGTTCATAATGACACTATCCCTATAAACCACTGCACTGTGAAGGGCTAACATAAACATGGGGCTATGTGTGCAGGCTGAAAAATTAGTCTGCGTGACAGTTTGGCGATAACACACAAGTTCAATCTGTCAAGACGACCGGCATTCAGACCTCGGGAGAAGAATGCGCGACTGTGTGCGACTGATTCACTGGACATGATCACCTGCAAATGAAGCCACTCATAATTCTTCCCACCTGAAATAAGGGGTTCAAACCGGTGTCAGGCGGCTCTGATGTCATGCCTGCCTCAGGTTGGGTTTCACAATAATATCAGTACACTTGGAAAGATGCCATTGCGTCCAGCTTCTGCACCCAAGATTTCTCCAATTAAATTGCAGAGGGGAAAGAATAACACGTGAAACACGAGATCCCTGCTCGTTTATAGAAATTAAGCCAGCGCATGCAGTATTTGCAATCAGTAATTTCCAGAGTATCAGTCATCTCTAATACGAGGTGGACACAGAGAAATACCTGAGGGGCCCCAAAGTATGCTGAGGCCACCTCTGCTGAGGGCAAATTCACCCTTTGTCCAATGAAATCTTCCAGAAATCACATTCCTCTGCAAAATTGCATGAAGCTGTGGAATTTTAGAAACAACTGGATAGCTATAAAGTAGGGTAAAGAGAAAGAATAGAAGAAAGAAAGAGGGATGGCACGGCCAGAGATAGACGGATCAATAGACTCATTGAGCCTCTTTATATTCTCCTTAAGGAATGATGGTGATACTCATTCGGAGCCTTATCGCCTCTGTCCCCATTCTCATGGCAACTGTGCACTCTGAACAAACACTCCTCATGCAATCTCTTTTCTACACTCCTCTCTCCAGCTACCCTCCACATCACCCTCTTGTTTTTCTATTCACATCAGACTTGTGCGAGGTAAACACCTGACAGCAGCTCAGGGGAGACTGGACTGACTTGGTTTAATATGGAGGTGTTCCCACCAGCAAAGGAGGACTCAAAAAAAAAAAAAGATATCAGGTGTGAATAACATTTCCTCGGCGGAAATATTGTAAGCACATTTCCGGAGTCTATTTACAAAACGGGACAGCCCCTAAACCGAGAGAGATCAGCGAGAGGCCAGGACATCATTGGTCCGTCCACATTTGCTCCAGTTTGCTCACAGCATGACACAAGCAGACCCCAAACCTAACCTCATTAAACTGAATTATGGAAACTTGGGGAACTTCCAAAACTTCCAACTCCACTCCCTCCCCTCCATTGCCTAAGTGGGAAGACAAAACAGGACCATAGAGAGAAGAGTGCATGAAGAACGGCAGCAGATCCTTGGGAGTGAGAGCAAAAGGAAGGAAGAGAAGGGAAAGTAAACCTTTGATGAGTAAGACTTTTTTTGTTAAGCGAGGGGGCTTAACTTTAAAATATTCTGGGTGGCGGTGAATGGGGGATTGACCAATGGCCCTGATCTCAGCCACTCACTGGGGCACTGGGGTTAATGGTGGATAAAGATTAGGAAAAAAGAGGGGGGGTTGCTTCGCCTGCTTTGCCTGATCTCCACATCCCCACTCCGCAGTGTTCACCTTCCCTACCAATCCCAAATCAGCTAGACAATGAAGGCTACCAATGGGGAAAGATCCCAGTCCCTTTGATTCCTGCCTCTACCCCCGCGACCACTCCGAGTGCCCAGAGTAAAGACCCGTTGAGGTTCCCCCTGTTTGCCCACTCGCAGGGACGGCAGTTAGCAGGGGCTCAGAGGAACTGTTTGAGGATTGGAAATGGAATGACAAGAGGTCTCTGATCTATGACAAGAAATCAATCCCAAACTGGAAATGTGAGCAGAGCGCTGTTCAGAGCAGCTTCTTTAGAGTTACACTTAATTGCTGTAGATTTTTATATATACATCTACACTGGAAGTGCAGCGTGCAGTGTTGGGGCAACTTTTTCTGAAGTGATTAGAAGGACTTTATTTTAGGCCAGCAGATATGCGGTGAGAGTTCATCTTTGAAGATTTAACTGAATACTAGACAAATTAACAACTAATATTTCAATCTCTTTTAGATGGAAGTGGAAATCTGGACTGTGCTTCTCTCAGGAAAGATAGGACTCTAGGGGACGTGGACCAGGTTCTAAAGCCAAGCCGTCAGCATCTTTGCGCCGGTCCATTCGCTTTAATCATATCGATACCTCAAAGGCACAGATTCATGATGGGTAGTAAGAGAAATGAATTTTCTCCTTAGGGTTCGAGGCAGGTTAGCTAAATAAACCAATAGATGCAGAGTGAACCCAAATTCTAAATAAAGTTATTTAAACAACAACTTTTGCAAAACTTGATTCTTTCCCTTTCTTTCCCCATGCCTGCCTGAAAGTGTTTGGACATGTGTGTGCAGCATGGATGCATGATGAGAGATCCAATCGATAGAAACGGCCACATTAGTCTTGTTGGAGATATAATTGGTGATTCTCATTGCGTGACCCGACATTCTTCACACTCATTTGCGGACTGACCTGGTAGCAAACACCATCTTGTATCATTAGTGTAGCCTCTGTTGATTGTGTCTAAGTCTTGCAGGAACTACATAAGGTGCTCACATTTAATAGATATAAACGAATCACCGGTTAAATTCACTCAGAGGTGCTCATTGTTTAATATTCGGTTAAAACATTGTGCTTTAGAAATGCATAAAAGTAGACGTCTCAGTGTCTGAAATCATTTACTACTAGAAATATATAAGCTTTTACATCCCAACAACTTCTCAAATTATGGTGTTTTAATCATAATGGCTCCAAATGATGTGAAACGTTAGGCAATAACACAACCTTCTCTAATTTACATTTAATGGTGATTTAAAATGCTCCTTTGTTTTACTGAACAAAATATATGACTTTATTATCCATTATTCTGCGTGAAACAGTAAATTATAATGTGGAACATCTTGTGTATGTCGCCTTCTTTTCCTTCTAAAATCACATTAATACCTTCCAGACCATATAATCTTTTTTAATACCTCGCTCTGCTGTTTTTATCATTACAGCACCCAGGACTGTGTCACTCTGCAGCCGAACCCCACCAACACTTATGAATGAAGTGGCTCATTACAGTCGACACAATAATCTGGTAGAAAACACCAACAACATATATGCAAGGACAATGCAAAGTATCTTCACTTACCACTTTGGACTTTACAGTGTGTGTCGTCTGCTTCTTTCTACGGGCGCAGAGCGTGCATGTGCATATTTCATCCTAAGAGGAGAGAAAAATGGAAATATAAGATGAAATGTAACAGCAGACAAAGAAAAAGGTCCACCATTATCAGTTTAAAGCTAATATAAACCCTGTTCACTTTGTCCTGCACTATTCTGCTACAAATCTCAATCAAGACATCAACAAAATAAATAGAAAAGAGACTGTTATCCAAGCTTGCTCACATTTGTCGGCCATAATGCATATCATAACTTCTAAGCTGGAGTAGATTGAAAATCCTTGGGGTGTGAACACCAAACAGGCACAACTGAAAGGTTGCCCAGTGGAGGGGGAATTCTATCAAGGTGGACAAGATGAAGATTTGTTACATTTGAGGGGGAATGGAGGCCCCTTGACCTCCGCTAGCTGCTACAATCACCCAAACACAGTGGGGCTAACGATACTGTAATAACACAACCAAAGGTACAGTAGGTGTCCTGATAAAAAAAACTAAATTGGTTCATCATTTTATTCCAAGACATTTCTTGTAAGAGTTTTATTCTGAAAGATGAGACAAGCATGAGAATCTACAGTAGGTCACTGTTCATTTTAACACTGATCCTCACAAAGACACGGTTAATGCCACTCTAATCTTTCTCAAGGTTGAGGATTCTTTGACAGATGGACATGGAGGAGCCGTGTTCCAATACTCACCCTAAGGGAGAGAACTTGCTGTTGTTGTCCGTCACAGGAAAGGATGGAGTCCAGCGACGTCAGCTCTCTGAGATAACACAAAACAGCAAGTATACCATTAGTCCAAATCCATGTCATGACACACTCATCTTTTTTCGTTTCATGTTTCCCAGGCACATTCAGAGCTGCCGTGGACATGTGTGGGCTAGACTGTGTCTTGCATAACGACTTTCAGTATGACTTGTAGGTGAAAGCAATAAAGATTAGAACAACAAAGTGCACCTGGATTTTGCTGTGAAGCGCATGTGTGTTAGTGTGTGTGTGAGTGCATGCTCAAACAGGCAATGTACAGTACAGTACAAGCTATAGTCCCCCCCACACACGTACTCCTCACTCTCTCAAGTTAAAAAGGTGCAGTGCCTGGGAGGCTCAAGCTATCAACACCAAGTAAATCACAGTGTTAACCTGACACAACTGATTTCTCATGTACTTCCACTGAGACGTCGACATCTAAAGTACACGTGCTATGCTTTGGCATCCATATAATTTAGAGACCATTAGTATTGATGATTTTTTCAGTTAATCACACGACAGCGGTGAGAGTGCACAACACCACAAAATGCGGCTACAGATTGCCCCGGACATTTTTACTGCACATACATCACATTAAAAGCATTAGGGCGGGAAAAGAAAAAAATTGCCTCTTTGTGGTGGCGTGGTGGGGGTACATTTCTGCTACCAGGGGGCATGAGGGGCACAAAATGGCCTGGATGTTCCTCTCTTGAGATTTATTTTTTTCCTCTTCCCTTTTTTATTCTCCCAGAGTCCCAATGACCCCTACAGGCAACCAGCGACTGCTGAATCCTAAGGAATGTGCTCTCTGAACTGTACAAAAAGCCCTCAGCTCAAAAGAGCACAGCTGAAAACAAAACATGCCAACTGCGATAATTTCTCACTGTTTTGAGTTTGTGGAAAATGTTGCACAGATTGCTGCTCAGGAGAGGGGTGAGAGGGTTTTAGGGGGATGGGCAGAAACCAATGGACTGTATGCTGGGACAACAGATATGAAAGTTTAGAATCAAAATGAGTTTGGTTTGTGTACATATACATACTGATCATCATGATTATATAGTATATATAAAGTAGAGATTTTTCAATACCAGGTCAGGGATCGACGATTGCGCAAATATACGCACTGATCCTATACAATGTCTTTAAAGTATATAAGTTTAACCCAGAAAATCTTTTCTTCGCTGCCTCAAAAACAGCAGTTGCTGTACTGCCACAAGTATTTCTTTTAGAGCAGTGAAGAAGAACAAGTGATTTCCTGTAGCATAGTGTTAGTCAGGGATGATATCAGCAGTTTGGCAATATTTCACACTGAAGGGAAGGGGAATGGTAACAGAACATCTCTAATATAAGGCAAAAGGATGAAAAAAGTCTGTAATGAGCGTAATGAGGTTTCGCAAAAAGCCTCACTGCACGGGATGATTAAAAACAATTCATCTTGAAGTAAAAGAGCACAATTACTTTTAAATACAACTTGGATATAAAACATTATTTCAAGCTAATGGCCCTTTACCTAAAATTATTTGGTGCTGCGTCGACTTCAGTATCACAACACCCATGGGTTGTGCGGATGTCATGTTTTATTCACTGCCAAAGCATTGGGAATGCTTATTAGTTTGTATGACCTCCAATTCGCTGGGATTTACAAATACCACATATACCTTTATTCCAAATATTACAACCATCGGTAAATTCTATCAACTTATAAATATGGCAAACGCATTCAAGTATTCATGAAGGCCTAATAATGCTATAGGCTGATATTTACATAAAGCGCTTGCTCACTAAGTCTAGATAAACTATTTAAGACCCAGACCACAAATACCTCCACACTGCAGAAAAAGGAGGGTCCTGCGATGAAAGAGGACATTATGCTAACAAGTCAGATTACTGTACACAATAACTTTATCTTAAAAGTAAATACCATCCTTGGTGTTGGGGGAAAAAAGAGGGAGGGGTGGGCATTATGGAAAGTCACTGGCAATATTTCTGTAGGGACCAAATGCTCCTTATCAGTGTTAGTCGAGCAATTCAGGCCCGCCCGAAGAAAGATGAGTCTTCAAACTCATTCTATTCATGGTCAGACGTGTAATTACCCTCAGCTCACAGTCTAGACGTAACCGCTTTCACAGTATTTAAGACCCCCTATGCAACGCGCGGACGCCATCTCCTACCACCAAGCCCTGCACGTTAAATCTGTGGGCAGATAAATTAGTGAAGAATGCAATAAAATAGACACAATGAGGGGAACTTTATCCTCCCTGCTGCTAAATGAGATTTCTTTGAAATGCAGATCAGTGGCTCTAGATTAGTGAATTTTAGCTGCTGTCAACATCATAACAAAATACAAATGCAATTGTTCGCCGGTGCCTTATCTCCTTGCTTCCATCTGCTGGCTGGTTATTTACTCCCCCCTGATTTACTATGCAGATCTAAATAAGTCGCATCAAAAGGAGGGCTTACTGCACAATGCCTTCTTAAGCTTCTACATCAAGGTATTTGAAAAACCGGTAGTCACATGAAAAGGCTGCCCATCAAAGGCACATCTCTAATGAACTCTCCTATATCAGAGGGGGCTTGTGGGGCCTGGCTTTAATGCCATCTGTGTGGCGAGAGAGAGGAGCAGAACTACAAATCAGGCCCACCAAGCCACGGTGGAGAAGGAGGAGGGGAGGAGGAGGACAGAGATGGGGAGAAAAGGAGAGACAGGAGAAGGAGGAAGGCCTTGGTTATCAGCTGAGATTAGCTCAGCACAGGGACTAGTCCCAGGTCTTTGCATTCATCCATCTATCTCCTAAGTCTAGGCTGAGGAAGGCCCTCATAAAAAGACGACAAAAGCACTAGATTAGAACAAGTTACAATGGATTAAACTGGATTTGGCCACAGGTTTGTTTTACAAGAAAACTAGCAAAGACAACCAAAGAGAAATCCTTCAAAAACATAGGATCTTTGAGACTTTTTGTGCAACTGTACTGCAAGAACATCAAATGATTCTGGATCAGTATCTGTTAAAATGACTGATCAATCCAGTAATCAGAAGTAGAGGGAGATTCTTGGACTGTCACTGCAAAGGAAAACATATTCTGCTGTCTCCCCCTTCTAATTTACCCCAGGTCTGGAAACAGCTTTGCTTAATCTCAAACAGAGCTTTTGCATTACGCTCCTGCAATAACCTTTAATTTCATGGTGTATTTGTTGCATTCGGCGCACAGGCCGGATTACAACTGACAATCTTTAGACTTGCGCAGCGAGAAATAAACTGCATGGAGAGATCGTGATCTGCGCTGTACCCAACCACCCTCCCACCACCCGCGATCCGTCGCTGCCACCATCCCGCTTTGTAGCAACTGTGTCTGGATGAAGGGGGAGACCCCCACCAACAAGCATGCAGTTTACCAGTGAACAATTAGCCCCGGAGCAAGAGCACGCCCGGCACTGGCACATGTGGTTAAGAGGCGTGCACTGCGGGAGAGTGCCAGATGATGAAGGGATGAGGATGGGGCGGGGAGGGGCAGGAGGAGGGGGGACAGAGGAGAGGGAAGGAGGTGCGTGTGCCAGACACGCGTGTGCCAGTTTTTTGTTTTTTTTGGCAACTGGGCACACGTCTTTTGTGATTCGCTTACAGATACTCTTTCCAGAGAAGATAAAGGATAGATAATTGGAGGCGTTACCACATACTCAAACCCAATACAACTTTGACTCGGAATTTAAGGACCTTGTCCAGATTGAGCTGTAATGTGAAGGCATCCAATGGCTGACTCGCTTAGCTACAGACACTTCTCGTCCCTCCCCTCACTCCGCCTCGAGGGTCTTTCTGCTTTGCGGCGTGCCAACTGGGCCTGGTGCCAGTCGCATTTGCAACCACAAGGGAGCCTTGTCTTTTTGCCATGCCTAATGAAATGACAAAACAACAGATTTGCATATACAGAAACAGGTGTTGTAACAGGTTTGACTGCTTTTGACCCAAGCCGTGTTAAAGAGAGAAAATGCAGGGAAAGAAAAAAAAAATATGCAGGAAAAGAAAAAGTTTATGACCAACAGCTGCCTGGAGGTATTTAGGCTCTGATGAGCTGCAAGACTGCACCATCTGCCCGGCTGCCTGCCAGAAGTGACAATCTGAATTAAAACCCACTCATCAAATATCATAAAAATAAACCATTGTTTTTGCTGCATCCATATGTTGTGGCCCTTTTATTTCATATGCAGAGAGGAGCATTTGGAGGCTGAGCTCCGAGGCCTGTAGCCATGATCCAGGGAAAATCCAGAGAACCACACAGTAGCCTGTAATTACCCTCCCACCGATCCGCTGTCTTCAGACCAGAGCCCTGCGTCATCCCAAACATTATCCAAGTCCATCCTCTCCACATTACAGAGGAGAAAACCTAGGAGGGCCGATGTGGTGAAAACATGGCCATTGTTTAGAGTAGGATTATGGGTTGACATTCAAGAGGGCGAGCTTCAGAAAGTGAAAGATAAAAATCACTACACGCTGCCTGCTTGTAACTAGACAACTGCTTTTATGATTTATGCAAATGTATATCCCCAACGCGGGACACAAATAATATGGCCAGGGAGCATGTGTGGCTGCGAAACAACACAAACACAAAATGGTGCATTTCTGAAAATGTCAAATGTCTCCCGCTTCACATTTTTGACCAAATAATGTCCTGACCCAAAGGGGGCTTTGACTAGAGACATTCCTTTTGTCCTTTACTGAAAGACGAAGCTACTGCGCAACACCCCCGGCCCGCAGAGCCCACTCAAACACCAACAACCCCAACCCCCCCTCCACCATTTCCATTTTTTCCCTCCTGTTATTATTTAGGTGAGTGAGACAGAAGGAACAAACCTGAGACAGTCGTGACCCTGCGTGAGTGTTGGAACTTGGTCTAGAGCTACGCCGGCAGAAGGCAGCACCATATGCCCTCAGCCCCAAGCTGGATGCTCTTTCTGCAGCCTAATGTGCCTGTCAAAAACTGTTACTGTCATGACCCCCCCCCCCTATGTTTTTTTTTTTCCTCTCGCAACATGTTAGAAATAAACATTTGCTTTTCCTTTTTCTCTCTGTATCTCTGGGTAAACGAGGGAAGGTCCTTGTAGATGTGAGGCATGGCTGCAACTCATCAACAAAGAGTCCAGGGCTGATGATCAGCTGTTACAGCCACACATATATCAAAAACTAATCATTTTACTAGATCGTTACCCTCTGGGTCTCAGTTGAGAGCTATTAATTAGGTTGGAAACAAAGCTTTCACTTCCCTTTTCCTCATTTGCATTGTCAAATGTGCAGCATATCTACCAAACCGCTAACAGTCAAAGAACCGTCTTAATAAAAGGCCATTTAAATGTGGGGTTGAGTTGGCTACCACCATTAGCTTCGGCGCTGTCTCACATGATGTTTTGACTGTTTACGAGTGACAGGCTGACGGCTGAATGCGCCGAGAGTGGTGACCTTGCCTTTTTACCACGACTGACCCTGTATCTTTAATTCAGGCCAAGACCCCCCCCCCCCAAAAAACAAATGTTTTCACACCAGGACACTGTCCATGCGACCGTGACTTGAATAGACGCCGGCGTGCCTTCACACCACACTGACCAGCGAGTAAACATGCAATTGTTAACTCAGCAAAGAAGAAAGAGAGAGAGAGAGAGAAAGAGAGAGAGAGGAAGAAGATGTATGGTCTGTGGCTGCTGTTGGTGTGCTGCGATTCAGGGAGTACATGCACGCTGTAGTTTATGTGGATAAACACGCTGATAGGTCAGCTAGTGTTCCAGGCCAAGCTTATGGCAGTCTGGAGTGTCAGCTCAATGGGAGACTATTAAGCACAAGGTCACAGTCAAGACTGCGGTGCCAGGAGGTGAACTCTGACGAAAAGGAATTATTTTTATATAGCTTATATTGCATACACAAACCAAGAGTTTGTTTTATGAGATTACATCAATGTCCCTCTCCATTTCAGAATCAGCAGCCAAAAGCAACACTTTCTGGCTGGTCGATGTTGGGGTCATTTGTTTGTGGCTTGAGAATCATTAGTGGGTGGTTCCGTGATGAATTTGCACAACAATCATTGCAGGCTCATGATTGTTCTGGACTAGACATACAACCACATAATCCGGTTTTTAACCTGGCCAAGCAAACACGAAACTCATAATTATGAACTTAAAACAAAAAAAATCGACATGTGGCTATGATCTGCGATAAAAGAAAAATGGCCAGTGTGAAAAAGTGAGTGACTCCCTCCTCTGATGGGTCTTAAATCACATCTATGTGGGCAGCCTGCACTCTCCGTTCTAATCCCCATCCCCTGACCCCACCCTGCACAGCTTTCTCCGGCCAAACAGTCACAATGCTTCTCGCTGACAACAGTGTCGAGTCGGGCTTAAGAAGTGACCTGAAGCGGAACTAAAAAAGTCTGAGCTGTCTCAAGACTCTTAGTAACTAGGGCACACAAAACATCATTACTGTGATGTGGATAATTACAGTGCAAAAAGGGTGGCCTCTTAAGCATGTAATACACTCTTTTATCTCCTGGAGTCAATCTTTCCGAGGCTGACAGCTTGCAGCATATGATCCCGGTAAACAAATACTTTTGCGCGGCACAAAAGTGCCATTAAAGGCCAAAACTGTCAACACAAATTCCATTCTTACTAGGGGGAGGGAACTGGAATGAGAGGGAGAAAGGGAGGAGGGAGGGAGGTAGGGGGGGAAAAAAAGGACTTGATCACTTCTGGTTGCTTTAACTTGCATGGAGGTTGTCATGGAAACATTTCTGTGAAGTTGACGGGGATAAAACCTGGACATTTGCCATATAATTGCCTTAAGCTTAAAAACAGGGCAGAGTTAGATATATGTGAAAACGCATTGTTAAGGCTACTCCAGTCAGATGCTGGTGCACCACTCCCCTGATTTTCTTACTCATTTTACACCCACCCCTAAAAAAAAAATTCAGCAACACTTCAAGGCTTAGGCGAGTGGTCGGTTTCATTACAGAGGTGTTGGGGGATGGGGGGTCGGTGCAATTCAAAAGCTAATCCAAAAGTGAGCAAGTGTTTCATTGCCTCAGATGTGGTATGACTCAAAACAGCATTGATGTGATCTGTGCATTAAATCCACTCTCTGGACTCTCTGTAACTCACAGCCGTGCATGCAAAAGTTTCCTCATGACTGTGTAAATCACAAACACAAAGCGTTTTTCTACTTCGGCTCTCCTGGAAGCAACAATTTCCACATTCTGAGATGAAATAAAAATCAAGCATCAACCAGTGTTCGCTGAGCTGAAAGCTGAATCTTAATTTTGATAAATGATTGAAACGTATGACAGGGTATACACATTAATCCTGTGGAGGACATTCATTTTCCTATTACCATAATGTAGAGCACGACCGCCCGATGATAAATGCAGCAATCAAAAAATGGATGCAGAGTGAGGGAGAGTCGGGGGTAATAAGTGCACCGCTCCCGACAACGGTCAGTCTTGGAGAGAGAGATGAAATGGCGAGTCTCTACATCGCTCAGTGTTTTACAAAATCAAGTCCTTACCGCACACACACAACACACACAAGACCCTGACAACAAGTAAACAAGAGGGCACAGACTCTTTTAAATGCATTTTTTAAAAATTGATGGGCCACTGCAACAAAGAGGCTGATTGTGCATCGTCGCCGACATATTTCACCAGGGGCATTTATTGCCGCCTGGCCTTTGATGAGTGAGAGCTACAGAGTGAGAGGGGGGAAACTGGCCCACACCTGCATAACTGAGGAGGGAACACCTGTGCACCCTGCGGCTCGAAACAAGGAGGGTCGATACAGCTAATCCAGGGGTGAAAGCTGATCAGAGCACAGGCCCGGAGAGTTCAGCAGCTCCCACTACCTTGTTAGCCTTTCTTTAGGAGAAAAAAAAAGTTTCACCTATTGATTTTCAGCTTTTTTTTTTTCTTTTTTTTTGGGGAGGGGGGGGGGGGCACAGTGATAGTGACAAGACACAGACAGACACAGACAGTGACAGAAAGGAACTTAACAGGAGCTTTTATGAGCTTTCAAGCTTAATTATTTTCCAAGCAAATCCAAGCAACCTTGTTTCTGGACAACGAAAAAAAGATGGAATGAAAATAAAAATGGAGCGAGCGTGCACGGTAAGGGGTTGACTGCTGATCATCATGGATACTGGTTATGCAGATGGTGAGATTCGAGTAAAGAATGGATGATTGATCATCATACACAACTACAGCCTGTGAGTTTAAATCTAGTTGGATTTATTTATTTAGGAGTATCAGCTCGAGTTTATAGCAAATGAGGCAAGGCTTTTTAACAACATCACAAAAAAAGTATATTAAAAAACTGTGTGTCAAGGGTGATAATGCCATGGCTACACTTAGGGGATTAAAAAACTGCAGTAACTCTTGCCTATTTGATAAATTATAAAATGAATATGACAAACTGATTTATAATCTAGCTCTCCCTAAATATAAATATAGATATAACTATTATGAGTTGCATTACTTGCAGTGTTTTAGTCATTAATGTAATGTAGACGCAGCCAATAAATTACAGCAAACAGTAAATAGGTTGTAAAATAGCTTTCAGTGGCATTAATACAGATATAATCTGACATTACGTGTTATCAAAGGGACGATGACATCAAAATCAAGGAAAAAATAAGGTTATTTATCAATAATGTGAGATCATTTTGCACATTTTTGAGCAGAATACGTGAAAAATCGAGTAACTTAGCACTTGGGTGGTGAAGAGAAAATATTTTTTGACAGGATTAAATTTTCAAGCTGCATTTTTAACAAAATAAAAGTGAGTGTTCAGGGTCCAGAGCAGGCAGCTGGGTGGACGGTGCTGTCCGAGGGTCCTGACACGTGGAGGAAACAACGCTAAGACGAATTTCTGAGCGAAAAAAAGCTGAAATATGTTTCTGCAAATAAATAATAAGCACAAGTCCACGAGCGACGCGTTTAAGAACGAGGTCGCGAGCGGAGTTTTGCGGATCTTGCACCGGACAAACTTGCTGCTAGGTCCCGCAGCCACTTCCCGGATTCAAGGAGAAGTGCGGGGAGAGAAAGACAGAAAGACAGAAAAGCTCTTAAAGACAGACACAAACTTACCGCGATAGACAAATATGGCAGGTTGTGGTTGTTTGTCCCCCCCAAGCCGCTGCAGGTGAAGAGCCGCCGTCCTCTCGAACGACAACTCGCAGGACAGATGTTCACACGTGACCGGCCAAGTTCAGCACAACAGCGAAGAGAAGACGAACAACAAGCTGCTGGAGTAAATAAAAAACACGCACACACACACACATACACACACACACGGCTGAAATATTCCTCCGCTGGGCACCGCTCTGCGAGACACACACACACACTCGCTCTCTCTCTATGTGTCTCTCTCTCTCTCTCTCTCTCCTGCTGTCTCCCGTCAACGCGCTGTTATTACTAATGCAACACTGGGGGAAAAGCTAGTACACTACACCCGCGTTTGAATGACGCGCAATGCGAGGAAGACGCTTGTTTTTTTCTTCTTCTTTCGTTACGATTCAAACACACACACACATACACACACATCCCCAGTAAGCCAGTGTATTTGGGACTAGACCCCCCCCCCTCCTCCTCCTCCTTCTCCTCCTCCTCCTCCTCTTCCTCCTCCAGCCGCCCTCAGGGGAGGCACTTGCTCGTGCGCGGAGGTGTGTGTTGTTATTTTTGGGCGTGCTGCGACCTCGTGTGACGTCAGGGCCACCTGCTATGTAAACAACCCCCCCCCCAAAAAAAGTTATTTAGAAAAAACAAAACAAACAAACAAAAGTTTGTTTTTCTAAAAGTTTCCGGGTTTTGTGTTTTGCTGAATCCGAGACATCTTTCAGGTTCACATGCAAATACATCCGCAAATGGGATCTATATCAGCAAAACATAATAACACAGATCCCTTAATAATTCACCAAATACTC